GTGACCGTGTTACGTTATTGTTTTCGCATGAATTCATAGCTTAATATAGCCATATAAGACACTTCAGTAAAACAAATTTATAGCGATTTTTGAAATTGCGTGTATACGTGGACCGTAATGGCCGGTTGACCTCTTTTGTTTTTCCGGAAGTTGTGGCCAAAACGGGAAAATTCATCACTTGACAGCACAAAGTATTTCCAATACATTTTGCATTTCCCCGTCAGCCGAGCCTGATGTGGTAAAATGCGATAGAAAGCAAAGGATGACTGCGGTGTGAAAGCTGTGTGTGTAGTTCTGTTGACAATGTCCTTTCCCGGTGAGTTTCGTTTTTCACGTGTGTTGCAATGTCAGGTCTGCGCGAGCCGGGCGTATACGGCGATGTCGAAACGACCGAAACCCCAACCGGCCGATATGTTATTTCGAAACAATTTTTTTTTACAGGGCAAGGCGCGTGATGTTTTATTTTCACTTCCGATACAATATGCCGATAATGGCGATGACACCAACGAGGCAACAACATTATTCATAAAGCCTTACCGAAGTGTACTGTGACATTTCCGTCTGTTTAAGCTCACATGAATCCATTGCTGTTATATTTGTACTACCCGTTTCGTTCGACGATTATGTCGTGAAGATATAGTCATGAAACAGCCGTTTGTTCAAAAGGCAAGTTGGGCCGAATAGACGTTCTCTTGTCGTCACGTGTATCTCGAAACATGACAAACTGCTCCAATTATTCAACAGTAGGCCTACTTCAAGATTTTCAAATGACATCAAGTACAGTATTACGCCACTCAAGTTCAGCAACTTAAACCACTTAATATTGTTAGAAACTTAATGGTCTGTTTAACTTTGATCTTCATATCCAAAAAAGGAATAATCCAAAACCATTACGCACGAATGCCACACTTTGCATGCACAAAAGTGTGGCATTCTGCGCATGCACAGTGTGGTAGTCATGCGCAAATTATGTTTTGCCCGTATGATTATAGGCCTATGTGTGTTTGTAGTTGTGCTCATTTATAGCCTCGTATACTCACCGTAGTTTAATCGTGATTTCTGGGCAAAAAAATCCCAGTCTTTCCCAACCTCATCCCCAGGGCTTACTTTATTTCAACCTCGTTTCCAACAGTAAGCCCTGGATAGGAAACTTTCTTCCTGTATCCTGATTCGATACCGCAATTGGCAAGTGATGGATATATATCGTGTACATGTACTTGGTGTTGTTATTTCCAACGCGCATTACGTGTTTTCGCGTTCATTTAAATTATTACGTCAACACCTTCCCAAAAATAATTCTTTCTTTTCCAATTTGCTCAAGAAATGTAATACTGCTGCAAATTGACTGGAGAATATACATTTATATTGGTGCATGGGTGGCTTGTGCGTAAAGCGCTCGCCTCTCACCAAGGTGACCACGGTTCGAATCCTTGCCGCGGATCACATGTGAGCAGAGTTGTGCCTTGGTTCTCTCCGGTGCCACGAGGGTTTTTCTCCGGGCCCTCCGGTTTTCCTTCCTCCGGAAAAATCAAACACTTTCGATATCTCAGGCTGTGCTGCGTGGTCATATATGGATCGATTCGGCTGGCAGCCATAGGCGCCTTTTTACGTGCCAGCGGCCCAACCACTTTGTGGCCGCGTCCTTCGCAATTCAGCATACCAGTTGCGAGTAAGGATGATAAGCCTCCCAAATTTTTATTATTATTATAATTATAATTATTATTTAAACTTTGAAGAAAAAAAACTTAGTTGTATACGTTTAACTCACGCCGCGACAAATTGATTCTGTTTTTATCCCAGACACCACATACAAACACAAACGCTAACGTAAAGCACAGGCAGGCACCAGACTATTCCTAATTTGCATACGTGTCCAAAAATGTGTGAAATGCAAATGATCCAATACCAGGGTGAGAGAGCAGGTAGTGGTGGGAGCGTACTACTCGACACCCTGGGGACGAGGTGAGTCTTTTCGTTTCAGGATCCGACCGGGGACCAGTCTAATGCGTCTGGTTTGCCGTTGCGGTCTGTTGGCCTACGCTATTATATTAACGTCCGGAGCTTCCCCCTGAATGATATCGAGGGCGAGATCGGATATGACATTTTTCTCTTGTAATGTTCATGAATGTAATTATAATATCAAAAAGGGAAAGCAAAAACTAAACTCTTATGGCTCCGTGTGGAACAGGTGTTCCAGGCATGCTGAATTGTTACGGCTGTTTCAACATGGTATTCCTTTGCAAGACCGCAAATGTCTTAGTCATTAATTTACCTCGATAAACTTGTGACGTTTCAGCATTAAGGCTCTTCGTGGACCAACAACAATAAAGAATGACATTTTCATGGTGTCGCAGAAACCCACAATCAAAAGTATAGGCCAATAATTAACTTGGGTTTTTGCTATAAGGGGTATAGGCACAGTGCCAGAGTCAGGCAGCACATCAACATGTCTTGATTGAATATTTCACTGTCTCAGAGAGACAAGAAGTGACCCGTAGAACGGATTCCACCGCGAAGTTCAAGGTTAACTGATGGCACGGTTCTAGCAATGATTCACCATCACTGCGATCTTTTCTAACTTAATCATTCTAGATTCTTCATTCATTGTGGTTTTTCCGAATCCCGGCTTCGTTCCGGCTTCTGCGTCAGGAGATTGTTGGCCCCTGGCTTTGGAGGACTCTAGAGTGCATGTTCTGCTTCAGACAAGAAATTTACATCCTATAGCATTCTCGTAATGTTTTTGGTTTGGACATTAAAGGCTTCTGAAAGATTGTAGAGGAAGAGATGAAGCCAAAGCAGCCGCGGTTTGGGCGAACCTCCATGAGGTCACGGACAGATCAATAATGACCGAGTTTGGGCAAACCATATTATATAATGAGCTGGGCAATGCGGCTCTATGATCTTGAACAACGAGGTTTCTATACACAAGTTGTCTGTTATCCCACTTCAGCTGCAAATGTAGCTTTTCAATTCGCATGCAGAAACATCAATATTATGTCGGTCTTATTATTCGCGTTTTAGTTCCCGATCTGTGCTCGTTGCGACGAGTGTTTGTGTTTCTCTCCCGTCAGCTAGACATGGCGGGGAGACCTTGCCACGTGGCACGCCCGACGCCAAATCGCCAACGCGAACCCAGGGCCCCTCCGTCTACACATCGGCAACCCGTTCGCCAGAAAAACCGCGGATGCGTTTTTTAGTCACCAGACCAGCTCCTAAGGCCACGCCGGAAACCAGAAGTTCTTGTTTGCTGCAGAGTTAATCGCGATGCCATAATTATTCGGAGACCGCGACCCCCTCGCGCCCAGGCTACTTTGCTACGGGAAATGTTTGCCAGGGCGCCCGGACGCGCCACGCCACGCCACGCCATGGCCAGGGCCCCGCGAGCGCCTGTTGACGGACTGATAAGACTACGGGATATTGCGTTAATGTCTGGCTTCCGTCTCGCGTAGTCACGTGAGACCCTCCGGTGACGTCAGGACTTCTCACGATGTTTTTTGTCTTCCGCCGGGCGGAAATGTAGATCTCCTCTGATCTCATCATCATTATAAGTTAGACTTGAGCAGTCTTTCTGACGGTTTTCCCCCACCGCGATGAGCTGTTTCTCATAGCTGGGGCGCACTAACGAACATTACCTAAATTTAAGCCGATCTATACCTGTCTTATAATATTGGTTAAGTGTAACAGAGATCGCTAGTGATGGAATTACAACAGTGTTGTCATAGCCTTGCTCGTTTTGGCGCGCAGCCAAACGAACGGTGCCGTCTAGCCTGTGAAACTGTTGGGCACATTGAACTTGAAGTTTTCGGCTTCATGAACTTGAACATTTAGCAATAATTCCTTGCTATAAGGTTTGAATGCGATTTGGATTCGACGGCATATATGTTAACAAAAGCTAGTCGGCTAATGCATGCAAGCTCTTTGTAGCGTTCAGTTTATTAATTAATCTACCAAAATCACGACGACATAATTTACCGTTCATTTGGCCTGAAATTTCCAGCTTATACGTCCTTGCTTTTTGGCACACTAATGCAGAGTGCAGGCCTAAGAAGTTTATTTCGGTCAAAAAACTTTATTCTTTCGTAGTTCGTTATGAAGAAGACACCCCTTATTTTAATATTTAAAGAGTTGGATATGTCAACCTGTATTATCACATATACGTTCAACTTTTTATACCTCGTGTCCGTGTATAAACTGGACGGATGGATGATCATTTAAAAGTTTGTAGAGTTTTGAATGCCGTAGTTATATTTACAACCCCGCAATATTCCCCCGCTCTATCTACTACGATTTCAACTCCGGGAATTGGTCTGAAATAAACTGTGTAGTGCGGTTTGACGCAACTGTGAATGCGTTGCTTATTTAGTGATGATTATCTCTGGATATAAATGTAGTATGTTGGGCAGACCGTGTCGCGTCTCACTTTGTGCTTTATAACTCCGCCAAAACTTGCATTCGATCCAAATATATAAAACAGGGATCGATGTACTTCCTTTGGTATCTTTTGTTCCTTTTTGCTGTAGTTACCGACTCATAACAGGAAACAATAGGAAAGGAAACACGGTTTGTACGCAATATATATTTCGTGCCGAGTAATTTCCCTTAGGGAAGGTGACGAGTGAAACGTTGTCCAACCTTCTTTTATCGAAAAGTTTCAGTAATTGGGGGCGAAAAATATGACATGGAGACATATTGCGAAACTCGAAAAGGTGTTCCAGAAAAAAAGTGCTTGCGTGAAGATGTGAGATAAAAATAGCGAAAAGGGTAGTTCACTATAAATGACATTGCCAACGAAATGCCATTGCTAATAAAATCATTGTATATGTTGTGTGCTCGGATGTATAATAAGTGAAACATAAATAGTGGTATGCGAATTGAATGGGCTGTGGCAGGGACAATTAGCAAGGTTCTATCTTATAAAAAAACTTTTGTGAATTTGAAACAGACACAGAAGGTTGAATTCACATGCTTAAAAGTATCGTGACTCTTTTTTTTTTTAACAGACCGCTTTTGATGCCAAGCCACCCAGTATGGCAAACCAAGTCCAGGAGACAGAGCAGGAACCAAAAGGTGCAGTGAACCACTCGCCTCCCACCACACCTGCTGAGGTCAAGATCAAGACGGAGATCATGGAGGTAGCCGCAACCGACGAGGCCTGTGACCTGGCGAAGGTCAGCGGGGACAAAGATCACGTGGAGAGGTCAGGGTTCGCGTCGGACAAGGAGGACATGGATGAGGAGGATGAGGAGGACTTTCTGAATCACGAATATTCAAACGGCCTGGACGAGGAGCGCTTTTCACCCATGAGCGGCAACATAGACTTTGGAATGATGGTACGGGATGTGCACTGTGGAGGAAAAAATACATAAAGCTAAGGGGCATCAGCATGTCATGAGGAGGCACAAAGGGCAGACCCATCAACATTTCCCCCAAATGTTCGGGATGACCTCTCCTGAAACTAGAGGGCTCTCTTTCTTCTTATCAATTTATTTACATTTCATAAAGCTGTAGGGTTCAGGGAAGTCAATAATAGTAATCTAGATTCCTGTTCGTTTTGATACCCCCACATAAAAAAATACTGTAAAAAGATAGTGCTTAGGCAAACGAAAAATTTAGGATTTTTGATGGGAAAGGCACCATGCCTGGGTGGCACTGGGAAAACAAATTTTTTTTTGGGGGGGACCACAAATCATGCAACTACACTTGTTAGGCTGGTCTCAAAAACTAAAATATCCTTTGGCTAAAATTATTAAATTGATGCTGATTATAGTCAAACCATAGTTAACCACAATTTTGATCAATAGTTAATCACAATTTTGATCCATAGTTCAGAAATTAGACTACTGTAACACTCTTGGTTGCAGTCAACCATCCTTTGCAAAGTGGTAACCATTTCTTAAACCATGAATTCCCAGTCAGGGGACCTGCTCCGAAGTGAAGACTACCAGCCATTTCGGGATGTGGAAGGCAACCAAGTCTTGGAAGTGGACTGCGGGTCTAACAGAGCCTTGCTCTACGTCAACAAGCTCTGCCAGGGAAGTAAAGGCCAGAGCATATTGTTTGAGGTAAGCAGAAAGCGTTTGTTTTCTGTCACCACAGAATCACTTTTAGTTTCTGAATAAGAAAGTGTTGTGTTTATTGCTGTTTGTGCGAGAAACAAATAGCAGTATAGTTTTGTTGAGAGAAAAAAAAAACAAAGGGAAGTATATGCAATGGTTTGGCTGTACCATCTTCAGAGGTTTTCTTATTGCTTTAGTATGAGGAAGAGAAACGTTCATTAAAAAAAAGATTATTTAAAAGTGAATGTAATTTCAAACAAATAATTTGCACAACTCCAGGCGAGGCAAAAGAATGTGTTCAGCATTTCTCCCTTTAATGTACCCTTCTCCATCCGTTATAGTTTAAACTTTATCTACAAATACGATTGTTTCAATTGAACTACTAGAATTGAACTAGGGGCAGAATTATTTTTAGAGATTTATACTTGTAGTCAAGTCCATCACAAGTCAATCACAGTCAGGTCACAATTAATAGGAATGTCCAATGCCAAAGGAATGCTTCGTCACAGTTCATTTGAAAAGCTCGTGTTACTTCAGACTGAATGACTTGTGATTGACTCTTGAGAATTCGACTTCATGTTTTGATTCGTAATATTTCAAACTTTTTCTCCTCAACCACTCAGAACCGATGGCACACGCCAAACGAGTTCCAGTTCATCAGTGGGCGAGAGACGGCCAAGGACTGGAAACGAAGCATCCGGCACCGCGGCAAGAGCCTTAAGATCCTGATGTCACGTGGCCTACTCCAGGTATAGTGGCTTTTGTGCAATCATCGTAGAGGGTGCTATGTTAACTTAACTGAAACTTATGCCGCATCCGAATTACTTGGCTACGGCCTGATATAACACATCGCACACAGGGATTTTGTTTTTTTGTTTTTTAGCAACAACCAAGATTTAGGAGTCGGATACCTAATACCCATGCAAATACTTCCCAAGCTTAAAGATATAGTCCATCATTTGTAATTTGTGCGTTTTGTTCGTTGGAAGCAACAAAAGTGTTCAAAATCTAATGAAGGATACTGAACAACTAACCTGATGAAGTTTCAGCTCAGCTTCAGCTGTATATTCCGAGAAAAACAGCATTCTAGGATCTCAATTTCAAATCAAAAGTTGCTGAATCATCAGTGTTTTGAATTCAGTGTCCGAGACGCGTTCTCACTGAGCCGATTGCATCTATACGCGATGTCGCGCACTGATCCGACAAATTATAGCAACCGCGCGCGCGTGTGCGTCGTGCCAATAAGAAAACGAACTACTAATTTAAATTTTCCTACGGTGCGTTTTAAGACGCACCGTTGGAAAGGCCTTCTTTCGTTGATTACTTCTAAATGACAGCTTGCCAGAAAGAATAATTTCACAGGGAGTTTAGTCCCCTTTCTATCTTTCAACCAAGTATGTTTTTCAACAATAATTACGCCAGTTACTTTTCGGGTGGCTGCAAATGATGGACTATAGCTTTAAATGAGCTGTAACCAGATAGTCCAAAGTCAAACCCCACAATCTGAGCTCTCTGCATAACCTTTTTTATAACAATGCACCAGCATTGTCATTCATAAGTTAAATCACAAGTACCTTGGGATGAACGATGACAAAGATATGCCTCTGTCACGTTTCATTTGAATAGCTTGTGACTTCACTTGAGGCACCAAGACTTGTGATTGACTTGCTTTGACTTGTGATTGACTTGTGTGGACTTTACAACAACTCTTTAACAGATAATACTTTCATTCGGTTTTAATTAAGCACGTACAGTACCCATGGCATCAAAGTTCAGTTCTTGTAATCTGTTTGATCTTACATTTAAACTTTGAGAACTTAAAATTCAGACTGTCATTAAGATCTCTGGGTTCCATTTCCTCAGGCCCGCACGAGACCATCCGATAAGAGGAACGCTTCCAATGGCTGCCTTGCAAGCCTGAACAACAGTGCGACAGAGAAGAAGCGGAAATTGGGGTAAGTGTAAAAGTGAAAAATTGTCTTCTTGTACTTAGTTGTAAACTCTGAAACAGGTGAGGGCATCACCATGCTATAAAGCCCTGGAATATGGTTTCTATTCCAAGTACAACGTGGGTTTATTACTAGGATACGCTTTTAAAATATGGCTCCAAGATACTAGAGTCACATCCAAATGACCAAATTGCAGATTCACTCAGATTTCTGAGTCTCACTATACACTCCTTATAGAAACAGTTGATGGTGCTGTATGTTTGACCTGCTCAAGTTTCCAAGTTCAGTTTGAGGGAGCACACTGTGTGTGCACACTTGAGAGTGATGCAGAGAGTGATGCATTTTTTTGTCGATTTTACAAAAAATTTCATTGTAGTTAAGTGTTAAAGTATTAGTATGGATAATTATCAATCAAAATCAGTAAAAAGTAGGGACCGAAAAGTTCCATTTTCTGAGTTCCGCTTTAACACGTTTATGTTTTTTCTGAAAGTGGACATTCTCCACAGAGAAACTCACCAAAGTAGTGCAGGCAAATGACTGCAACAGTGCATGCTTTTATAGTGTCCAAGTGTCTCTCTCATTGTTGAGGAGGATGTACACGGAATCCATTGTTAAGTGTGGTTTGAAAGTGTATAATTATTTTGTTATGTGGATCATCTGCTTGTGTGAACAATATAGCTCTTTCAAATTTCCCAAAAGTTGAGAATTTGTTTCTTTAAAAACGGTCTGCTTTTTGGTTTCTCCAGGCAGGAGTCAGAGCCGAGCCAGTTGAACCAAATCATCAACCATCTCCACCAGACCAACGGTTCCCATCTGCTGGGCGCCAGGGATGGCTCAAGAAAGAGAAGCATGGCCTCTGAATACAGGAACGGGAAGCGCTCGCGCAGTACCTCACCAACAGAGGGCGACATTTACGATGAGCAGCAGAGATGTATCTTCCAGGCAGCAAACTCGCCCGAACCTCAGAATATCGGTGCGATATTTTTAATAATCAGACCGATCACATAGGAATACATGTGTAACTTGAATGGGCTGATTCCTAATACACCAAACACAGCAATACGGATTGCTTATAATTAACCACACTTCTACCACGATGTAATTAGCAACCAGAGTTGTAACAAAAAGTCATCGCAAGTCATCATAAGTCAGTCTGTGTGCAGTTTGACACAGTTATTTCTTTGCAGTATAATGCACCCCTTTTTACTTAATTACGACTTGTGATTTTGACTTGTGATTGTTTGTGATTGGCTACTTGCAATGAACTTGTGATTGACTTGCAATTAAGTTGCGATTGATATGATAACAACTCTTTCCAACCATCTAAAAAATTAACAATGTACCAGGTTGGCGAAGGGGTAGTCAGGTTGGCGTAGCGGTTCCTTCCTCGCCTTCCACCGCTGTGATCCGGGTTCAAATCCCTCCTGGGCCAACATGTGGATTGGGTTTTCAGTCCCTGCCTGATTGCATGAGCTTTCCCCAGAATATTCTTCTGGCGTTTTTCTCCCACTTCTAAAACTGTAATTTCTTCTCATTGCCTCCTCTCTACGGGTTCCTTCAGGCTTACGAGCTACAGTGCCTAAGGCGCTTTTGAGGAATCCTTGGGATCATTACCAAAAATAATTAATGATGATAATAAAATAATGTGAGGCTAATAAGCCCTACGTAATACTTGTTAGCAATCTAGTATCTCTATTTTCTCACAGAAAATGCACGTAAATCTCTGAACCTGAGCACCAACAGCCCCGACTCGCCCCTGAGCAGCACCAGCGGGCAGAGCTCACCGGTATCCTTTGTCCTCGGCGACCCCCAGTCCCTCACCAATTACGACAAGCAAGATGTTCTGATGGCGCACAAGTCTCGGAAGCAGAACTCCCCTCAGCATTTTGAGATGCACGGAGCTGGAGACAAAGAAAGGGAGGTATGTACAAGCTGCCCATTTTAATTTGTAAGCAAAAAAGAAAGGAATTACGGAAATTATCTGAATAATCTTGACTCAATTACGTGCAGCTTACAGAATTGTAGAGTTTGTATGGTAGGCAAATTCATTTAGCAGCAATATCACGGCACTTCTTCATGTCACTAGAAATCTTGTACTTCATTAAAACAAGATTTAATAGTTGTATGCATATTTTACAGCACAGACATGCTTTTGCATTCTTAAAACACTAAGACATTTATGCATCAGGAAAGCATGAACTTAGGCATAATTTCAACAGGCACCCCCATATTCAGGATAAATTTTGTCTGGTTTATTTTAGATAAGCCGAAGTCCCCACATTGTACTCGTCTCATCGTCAAACAGCGCAGCATTCCAAAAAGGACAAGCCAGTCTGAGGCCAAGGTAAGACACAGCAAGCATGTTTACATTTAAGCGTCTTATCACTCATTTATTTTTGTATATTTATAAAAACGCATGACATTGTCATGTGACAAAGTCGTGTATGAGTAAATTGGCCTTATGTCTGAGAATTTCTTGAAATCGGCATTTCTTGAAATCTATCATCAGCTTCCCTCATTGTTTTGCAAACCATAGGATCTTAATCTGCTCCAACGGAAGTAAAATGCCAGATTTTAATTACAGCTACTACTGACATTTGTATGAGAGAAGGTCAGAAATTGACTATAATTATATTATTTGTGGCCATTAGATCTAATGTGGCTTTACTCATCCATCCTCGTCTTTCTCCAGGTTTCACTCACATCAACCAGGCACTCGTATCAATGGTAATGCCCTCATCACCGGCCCTCAACAGCCGTTGACAGGCCAGGGGGAGGGAAGTAGACGCACCCAGTCCCTGCTGACCCCCACCGCAAAAACACCCTCTGTCAAGATGATCGAGCTGACCAGACCAGATGCTGTGCCAAAGACACCAGGTATACTAATGAAACTTGTGAAACTTGTTGTGTGAATCACTCATTAGGGGCTGCAATAAACAATGCTTGTGGACTGGGGCCAATTTCATAGAGCTGCTTAAGCACAAAATTTGCTTAAGCACAAAAACGTCTTGCTTAATAAAATCAGGTTACCGACCAAAACTCCATGCGATTGTTATGCTAAGTAAACAACAGCTAAATACCAGTCACGAGCAATGTACATCACATGGAGTTTTGGCCGGTAACCTAATTTTACTAAGCAATGTTTTTTCGTGCTTAAGCAAATTTTCTGCTTAAGCAGCTCTATGAAATTGGGCCTTGGTATCAGGCAAAGAAGGCAGAACTAAACTTCATCTAAATATGCACCAAGAGGCCAACAGCAGCCATGAGGTTTACGCTTGTATCATAACCTTCTTTGTCAATGTTGAGACAGTTGTGTGCATTAAGTTATAAAGTCTTCATGACTCAATATGGCCCATCAGGCAATCATTTACCTCCAGTTTCAGAGGCATGAAATGACTGAGAATACTTCTTTTCCTCCCTTGCTTGATGGGATCATGCCAGTGCATTGCAGGGAACTGCCAAGCTAATGTCAGTACAATTTTAACTGCTGGGTGGAGAGCGGCAAGTCAGGGTGAAGTGGTTTTTGCCCGAGGATACAGCATATGGCCAGCAGCTGGATTCGAACCCTTACCCTCTTATGAGTCATGAACCACTAACAACGAGGCCACACTCCCTAAAGTTTTCAAATTATGTTTCTAATGTAAACTCAGAAATCAGATCACAAGACATTATTGTATGGGGTGTTAATTAACCTGAGAATATATTGTACCTGCGAACAATTTCCAATCCAGTTTTTATTCTTCTTTTCAGCCTTTCCAGACAACCGGAACAACAGTGCCCACAATTCCACTCATAGTGCGGATGGTGTCAGCCCGTCTGCCCGAACGCCAAACAATGACGCTGTGTTTTTGCCAAGTGATATGAGCCTGTGGACGGTAGATGATGTAGCGCAGTTCATACAGTCGCTAAAAGGTTGCGAAGAGTACGTTCAGGTGAGTGCCCAGACCAGAGGTGGATCCATGTGGCGGAAAAGTGGGGGGGGGGGGGGTGGCTGCGGGCAGTACAAGCAGTTCAGAACAGTGATATAAAGAGAAGAGACCGACCCCCCCACAAAAAAAAAATGTGGTCGTCCACTTGGAATTATTTAAGTTGTGTTGCTTTATCAAAATCCTACGAGGGACGTGCCCAATTGCCCTTTTATATCTGGAAGGCAAAAGCAAGGCAAAATTTGAACTGTGAAAATTTACTTCTGTGTGAATCTGTGCAGACTACATGCAGTGTCTTTTAGTTGACTTGTGATTTGGCTTGGCATTTAGTATGTGATGCTTGGTGTGCACAAGCAAATTTCATCTTAATGAGCAAGTCTTTAGTGTCCTCATGAGAAGGTACCCGTGCAAGATGGCAAAACACGCGTCTTTCGTGCCTTGATCTCTCTCTTTTACACCATGGAGGATAGAACTTATGCAGAGTCCATACCAAGTCCTCAGGAGGATTCCATTCTGTTCAATCCTCAATGTAGTATCCATGCCACATGACAATACTTAAATTAAATGAACAAGTTCAAGCAAGAACTCTAATTAACCATAGTTCAACCAACTTCATACAAATCATACTAGCTGATAAAGTCGGACAAGTCTAGTCGACTGTTCAGGATCAGCCTACTGATGAGGTCAGTGGCATTGTTGGTTTCCAACAGCCGCACATTAGGGCAGGACCGACATATGCATGTATGACGTACCACTAGAGAAGTTCACACTTTTCTATTAGGCACAATTCACATCACAAATCCAACATTTTCTACAAGTATAGTCCTCGATTTGAATTTATCCACACATGCCAGTGCTTTCCTTGTTAACCCATTTATTATACAGTCATCTTAAACTCTCTTTCCCTCTGTGTCCCACTGTCCCTCATCCTCAACAGGTCTTCCGAGACCAGGCCATCGATGGCGAGATCCTTCCAGTCTTGACCGAAGATCACCTGCTGCAGAACATGGGTCTCAAGCTGGGGCCGGCCCTCAAGATCCGCCTGAGAGTGGCCCGGCGACTGGGCTTCACGTTGGACGGCCAGTACTGCCAGCTTAAGCCGCCATACGAGGAACCGCCAACGCACTGACAGATTTTATTTAAGGGGACAATAGTGTGATCAAGCATTTTAACTGTGTGGTTTGAGGCCGGTTAGGAGCCTGGGGCTAATTATTAAAGTAAACAACAACTAAATACCAGTCACAAGCAATGTACATCGCATGGAGTTTAGACAAGTAACCTGATTATATTAAGCAAGGGTTTTTTGTGCTTAAGCAAATTTTGTGCTTAAGCAGCTCTATGAAATTGGCCTCAGGTCACCTCTGAACCATGGTGAAGGCCTTTTTTGGCAACCAGGCCTCTGACCAGTTTTTTAAACATCTCGGGTTTTTTCCTGCTCAATCACAATATAATCCCCATTCATTAATACCTTTTTGGCCTAAAAAACGTAGTAAAGAAGCTTAAAGAATGACAGAACTTCCAACAATTTTGTTCTTCCTTTTTGTGTTATATTGCTATCCATTTTGGGGCTGTTTCTGTTGTGTGAGCAACAAGTGATGTCTGTTTTTTGTTAACATGTAAGTTGTGTATAATGTTAATATGTAAATAAATGTAAATTAAATGTACAGAATGGTGCTATGAGAACTGGTGCTGGTTCTTACCAGTGAGGAATGGATACCGGTGACACATATGGTACAGGACTAATTGTTACCGCACAACTAATACCACTATTAACAAAGTGACAGCAGCAATATATATATAGAAATGCAATTTTGGAATATGCAATTATCTAAAACAGTATTACCTTAACTTGAACACTAGTGCCTCAGTTTTATTTCACCTTTGCAAGAAGTAAACTTTTCTACTGTGAAAAAACACCCGGATAGATTTTCAAACCTCATATTGATAAGCAGTTAAAAGTTGTTTGTTTTTGTTTACCTTGCTTGAACCTACTTGATATTAAAAAAAAATTCCATGAACTTGTAAATATGTTAATACCGTTAATCCTTTCTCTTTTTTTAAAATACTTTGATAGTGTTAAGGATGTGCAATTTGCCAATTATAACAATTTTTTACCGTGACTTCTTTAGTACCTCGTAATATTCACGTTTCATGTTGGTTGTTAAAACATATAATATGCCTTTGTTAACCAATTTGATCTTTTGAAAAGTTGTACTTATCTAAAGTTATTATTGATATGTCCCCCCCCCCACCAGTTTAGTTATTGATGCTTCTTTAGAGTTTTATTGTTTTGTAAACTTTCAACATATTCTGTAATTTGTATGTAAAAACATTCTTATATTATAAGTCTTATTTAATTTGTATCTTATTTGCATCAAAAGAACCAAAAGCCATATATTTCTGTTTTCCGTTCCAACTTGTTTTCCTAAAAATGAAATCCTCGAAATAAATTGGCTTTAACCTTTCTAATGATCCCCCCCCCCCAAAAAAAATGCTTCGAACTGTGCCTGGTCTACATTAAAGGGCACATGGTGTACATATATATTTGGATGGACATGGTATATTTGGATGGACATGTGAAAACTTGTTTAGTGCCTTTCAATTTGTCCCTGTCAAAGTTGATGATAAACTAGTCCTTTCAGTAACAAAAATATAAATCAACTTTTTAGAGACTTTGAATATTTTGAATACATTGCACGCTTCAAACTTTATGGACCAACAACAGGAATAAAATAGCACAATTATTAATTGTTTCAAATACCTGCTTTTAAAAGGTGTCTTATTATTGTTCCCTAAATCAACCCCCCCCCCCCAGCAAAATGTTTTAAGTAAGCTATATTACAACTTCTTGTTAAAGTCAGACCTGCCCGTTTAGTTGTTTTTTAACACACACGTTTAATTATTTTGGGGTGTGTGGATACAGGTATGTTCATTTTTTCTCAAATTGTTACAGTCTTGTAATGGAGTAGAAATGTATCATCACCTGTCCCCCTACTAGTCCAGGCATGCGCAGAGTGTTTCCCCCTAAAAATAAACTCAACATTTGTTCCATTTATTTTCCATTTGTGAGCATCTTGCCCCCCCCCCCCCGCCTACGCCCCGCCCCTGCTGAGCCGTCAAGTTCAAGTGAAAAATAATGTCAGAAGGGGGCGCGCTTCTAGAAAACAAAGACAATTGAGGGCGCTGTTAACATTTCATGCATCTCGCTAACTCGTGCATTGTGACAGGGCTAAAATAACATTTCTTCGAACTAA